ACTGTTGGACACCGTGCAACACTACTTCAGTTGTATATTTGACGTGCAGCGGTAAAAGAGCACCTCTACAAAGACATAAAAACAGCACTAAGCTATGCCGGTATGCATGACCTTTTCCAATTCGCTAGACGACCTCCCTGAGTCCCGGAGTTGCAGACGGCAGAGGGAGGGGCGCAAGCTTTACACCACCGCGCCTTTGGGTGACCGCTGTGCTTGAGTGTAGCTTTGCCCCTCCCCCACAAACACCCACAACCACACACATAATGCGATTGTGCATATGGAAAAACAGCTGGAGGAGAACATCGCAGGAGGAGAGGAACAATGAACTTCATCCTCACCCCATTAAGAAAGCAATATGTTTGCAATCTTGCTGATGACGGACAGCACTGGCCTGGCCGAACGCGTGCACGACTGCTCGTGGCTCCAGTTCTGGGCATGTGCCACTACAAGCAGCTGTTAACATGAGACGGGTGCATGCCTTGGAACTAGTACTTGGTGATGGCCGCTTCCAGAAGTATCCTTGCAAGATAAAGTAACGGATCTTACGCTGCACTCTACAGGCCCAGTCCAAACCCTCAGATGGTGCTGAACTGAACTCGAATGGCATTGCCTAAAGCTGGAAATTAGGAAGGTGCAAAATCTAAACGACTCAGCCAACTCCGAGGCAGAACCTTTTACTGACTCTTGGCATTGACTGGGGGCCGACACAGTGGGTGGGCCATGGACCTTAGGCGGCGGACCTGATTCTCCTCCTCTTCAGCCTTTGCATGCACACTCCTTTATATGATGCGTCTTGGTGCTACCATACGGCCCATGCAGGATGAAAATCTTCTGCTACATTAGGTTCTTCAGATTCAGACGCCAATTACCTGAGATCACAAGTGATCTGTGCCAGAAGCTGTGAAAGTTCTTCGTCACATACCTATCAACCGTGCACGTATCAGCGCATGGCTAGTCCCCCGTGTCGAATAATTAATATGAACTCGTAAATGATCGGATTGTATCGGAAACTCTCACATGAACGGTGTGTATCTGTCCCCACTGAAGAAATGAAATGGTACATGGTTGGTGGGCATGGATAGAGTCGAATCTTTGGAGTTTCTGTTTTTGGACCAGAAGTTGATTTTCTTTATAGAACACCCATAGGTATTTATCCTACCCTGTCTATAGGTGTTTTACATCGTAGCCGTGAGTGAACAGGTCGGCGTTTCTTGTGGAAGTATACGGTCGAAATGGTTTGATCGTTTTTGAATTAAATGGTTTGAAATACATTCGGAGCCATATTGATCTGTCATCCTGAGCACAAACTTTAATTGTATGGACACAAAGAGCCTGTCATGAACTGAGATATGGCAACTGAAACTTCACATTTTAGTTTGACCTCAAAGGTCATCAAAGGTCACTAATGCAACACAAAAAGAAAATATCAAAAATGATTGCACGCTGACCAGATTCAGAATGATACCAGCAACAGGAGCAAAACATTCTGGCGCTTTTCACCAAATGTTACAATATCGACATTGTAATGATCGCTAGTAAAGCATTTAACCGTAACCACGTGATGGAACACATCGATCTGGATGAAAAAGGAGCGTTCAATGACCCCTCTACCCGACTCTCGAAACAAAAAGTTTGCCTTCGTTGCGATTTACTATCAGCGTAAAATAAGCATATTTCTAGGTAAATACGCAAATTTCAATCTCAATTCGCGACCCCTAAACCACCTTTGATTTCAAAATTTTTGGCACCATTGGAATCAGGAGCCGCGAAATAATGGGAAAAACCACCCCCACCCACAAATTTCCAAAATCGGGAAAAATGGGTACCCCTAGTGTGCATGTGCGCACGTGCATTACTTTACCTTCGTCGACTGAGAAAAACTCATACACGGTCAGCATCATGGTCACACAACAAAAGCAACAAACAGCCACACACCAAATTTCATTGCAATCGGTCAGTCCGTTCCCGAGATATGACGGAGGGGTGTGCACGTGCGCGCGTGAGCACGCGCAGAGCCACAACTTTCTCGGTGCACGGCACCCTACTAACCGGTCTATAGCGATGTGCCAAATATGAGTGCAATCGGTCCAGTCGTTCTTGAGATGTGAAAGCGGCACCTTGCACGTGCGCACGTGCAATATGGGTCCCAACTGCCTTGTGCACGGCACCCTTCTAACTGGTCCCTAACCGTGTACCAAATTTGAGCGCCATCGGTCCAGCCGTTCTCGAGATCTGGAAGCGGCACCCTGCACGTGCGCACGTGCAATATGGGTCCCAACTGCCTTGTGCACGGCACCCTTCTAACTGGTCCCTAACCGTGTACCAAATTTGGGCGCCATCGGTCCAGCCGTTCTCGAGATCTGGAAACGACCCCTGCCCTGCACGTGCGCACGTGCAGCAGCACCCCATCTCTGGCACATGGATATACATTGCCCGGTGGGTGCGTATTTGTATGCCAAGTTTCAGCGCAATCGGCCGAGTAGTTACCGAGATATTGCAATTGTTACAAAACTGACACTTCTTCGTATTGCACGTGGCACGTGCATAAGGGGTCACCCACATGCATCGGGAATAGTCCAATACTTGGTAAAATGAATGAAGCTACCCTACAAAAATTACCGCATGTACATCGGTCAAGTGGTTGCTGAGATATAAGCCTCGCAAAAGCGCTACTTATGCAAAATACCCTGAACAGTGAACACCCCTGACTTTTCACGTGGCACGTGCTACGGCAGTCACCTAGACGCATCATGAGAAGTCAATTATGGGGCAGAAGGGATGGGGCTACCGAACAAAAAAGACCGCAGGCTAATCGGCCCAGTGGTTGCTGAGATATCAGCCTCTCAAAAGTGTTACAGGCCGCCTTTAAAAATAAGAGGCCAAAGTGGCCTCTTATTTTTGGCGCCAAAAACGAGTGTCCAATCCAGGTAGTTCATGTTATCTATGCTTGCATTATTGCTACATAACGATAAAAACGCGCATAAGCGATACAGTGATAAAGAATAGAATTAACATGACCACTAACGTTCTGCTCCCTTTTTATTTTGATCTTCTCCACGCCTCACAAAACGGAATATCCCTTGGCCCTTGTCGTTCGGAACCATGTTTAGGCTCAATTAGTTTTGAAATGAGATAAATGAGCGGTGTGCCGCTCTTAAAGTTAAGTGCCGCTCTTAGATGCCAGCGGTCCATGCGCTGGTAGCTGAAATGATGCTGATTCTTTGTCTCGTTTCCAAATCTCCTTCTCTGTAAAGCCTGGCTGTCGCGGGCCATTCCAGCACGGCATTGGGCAGCTAATCTGGGGACGCGCCTTATCGGCAGCCGCAAACGTTCCTGCTGACAGGCAGATCAATTGGTGCTGTCTGTCCCCCCCCCCCCTCCAGTCCTCTGGGAATCATCCGGGCTGGCGATGAACCTGCATGGCCATACAGCAGTGAGCTTGTCTCCCGGGGACAGCAGCTCGGCTGAATTTGGGGCGGAAATCATCAGATGATTGCCACGTGCCGTGGTTTTTTCTTGTGAACATTCGATTTTGTCACTCGATAAGATGGATGTCGAGCCTTTGCAGTTTGATCTAATAGGACGATTGAACGAGTGAAGTGCATAGATAATCGATAAGTATTGTGAATCCACCAGAAAGATCAGATCTATGACTATGACCACATCTCTCATTCTCTCCCACTGCAAATGACCCAGATTTCACCCCACCCTCTCTGAAAAAGGTGTCGACGGCAGTTGGAGCTCGGGTCAGTGGCACTGTGTTTGTGCCGCCTTCCAGTGGGCAGCTGGCCTAGTGCGTAGCCGGTCAACAGTCCGTCGATCTCTGGCGCGGTGTTTTGACACTCGGCCGGGCCACAATTTGCCGCAGTGCCGCCGGGCCGGTGGTGGCTCTGTGTGTGCTGCAGAGTGCAGCGGCCCGCCTGAGGTGAACAGTGCCCCTGGGACACGTCAGTCTGATCACGCTGAGTGGGTGCGCTGGTGCGCTGGTGACTGCGCTGTGCGTCGTGCTTTAGCCCGGCGCCCGGTGGTGCGTGGGGCGGGGGACGCGCTATAGCGGGCTGTTTATGGTGTGCTGATGGCTGAAAGCGGCTGCGCCCGGTCCTGCAGTGTGTTTAGTGTTTATTGCAGAGTGGGGATTTACGATCCGCAGGGAGGCATCCTGTGAATGTCTGCAAGCGCAGGCCGGTTACAGGGTGACGCTCAATACGTAACCGTGGCCGGCGTACTCGTTAATTACATGCCCGGAACTTTTAAACGGTGAACCGAGTGTCGCCGTGCATACACCACCATTAATCAGCCTGTTCTCAGCAACATGGCCCAGGGAGGCGAGACGGATAAGCACGGCCCATGAGCTATAGTTTCCAAAATATTGAATGAGGCATTGACGAGAAAGATCACATTGCGTTATTGTTATATTATTGTTCGATATAACGTTTAAGAGCACACGTAAAATAACATCGTCAAGGCACCATCCCAATGCCATTCTTCCAGTGCTTTCATAACAACTTCGTGTTTACGATATAAGTTCCATTATTTCAACAGCTAGGGAAATATCCCGACTGAATTGGGATGTTTCAGACCTGAGCAGCACAAAGCTAAAAGCTAGCAAACCCGTTAACTTATGTTAGGCTTGCCTCAGGGGATATTCAAGACGTACAGAAAAAATAGCAGTCTCTTTAATCAACACAATGACTATAACATCAATCTACATCACAACGAATGCACAAATACCTAGTTACATATGTGGAGCAAATATCTGACGGCTACCGCGGGGTCGTGAAATTGCATATCCGCTAAATGCGTGGGTAGGTATTTACATTGCAGCTGATTACAGCGCTTGTAAATGGTGCTTGCGCGGCACACATCTGATGCTCTTTGCTCGGAATTAACTACCGACCTGCTGACAGTATTGATTGCTGATGCCTGATGGTGACCTTCTGACCTGCTGACACTGTTGCCTGCTGACCTGCTGACCTTGCTGATTATCCTGTTCTCCCCAGCCGGTGCTCTGTGAGGCGTTCTACACGATGATCGAGTACGGCCGCACGTGCATGTTCATGTGGATGTTCATCGAAGGCCTCTACCTGAACAACCTGGTGTCGGTGCCGTTCTTCCAGGGGCCCGTCAGCTACAAAATATACTATCTGCTCGGATGGGGTGAGGATATATATCGACAGCTGCATGTAACATGTTATACTTGAGAATGAGTCTTTTTCTTCTTCATCTTACTATCTTTCATTTTCAGTCTTCACTTTGTCTCTTCCTCCTCCTCCTCCTCCTCCTCCTCCTCCTCTTCCTCCTCCTCCTCCTCCTCCTCCTCCTCCTCCTCCTCCTCCTCCTCCTCCTCCTCCTCCTCCTCCTCCTCCTCCTCCTCCTCCTCCTCCTCCTCCTCCTCCTCTGTCTCTCTCACACACTCTCTGTCTTTCTGTCTCCTTCCCCCTCTCTCTCTCTTTTCTCTCTCTCTTTTCCGTACTCTGCCTCCTTTTTACTACTCTTACAATCTTCCTCAGCATGCTACTGCGTGGCAAAACACACTTGCAGTCACTGCATTTCCTAAAACTCGATTGCTGTAGCCCGTTAGCTTGTCAAGATTCATGACTACACGACAATTGAGAACGTATGCACCTAACTTTATTGTCAGTACGGATTGCTGTCCCTTGACTAACAACAAAATCTTCCTAGCTTCTGTTTCCATTTTTTTTTTCATTATTTACTCTATCTCAGCACGTCTTTCGGAAGCTGTGTCAATGGCAGGGAAATGCAAAAATGACTACCTACATATACATACGTAGCGCCCTATTTACTTCGACGCATCGCTTTGTCTGTTTTCGGCTGCGGTTAAAGTACAGCCTTACGTTTTGAACAATGTACAATAAGGCGCTTCCGGCTGGTCTTGTTCTTTGTTTTATAGAACATCACCGGTAAGTCACTGTTCTTCAGCATTATTTCATAGTGACATACACGTAATATGTAAACTACATGCTTTACACTATTCGGTGTTGCTATATCATTTTCCTGACATGGAATTGAATAATAACATTTATCGAATAATTCTTGTGATGCTATTGCATTTATTTTGTACGAGCAATTTGTGACATTCGTACAGCACTGGTGGAATATGTGCCATTTTCTCGTAATATTCATAGAACTTGGTGTATGTGCAGACATATATCGAGGGAGAGGTAACATTCGAGTCACTCTGACCTTTTATTATTAACATTTTTCTTAATGTTGCTTCCCGGACTTTCGTTTTGAAATTTGACAAAGCTGCTGGAGAAGTGTGTGCCATATTTATCTCTGGGTTCATTTCTGGCTAGGTATGTCAGGTCAGGCGAGGCTATATGGTTCGACCTGAGAAGAGGGCGGGAGGGATAGCAGGCCGGATGTCTGCCATTGGTGCCGGAAGAGGGTTAGGGCTACCTCGAGGATGCTGTTTGCCATCCTTCCCAACACAGAGGCAGCGGCTTATTAAAGGGACTATCCCACCTTCTAAAATGTTGTTAAAACCAGTTAAATTGTGCCCGACTTTATAGATTGGATGACCAGGAACACGGTTCTGGCATTTATTTTTCATTAAACATCTTAGGCTTCCCATATTCCAAACACAAACTTTCAAATATGTGACGTCACAGGCCAAAATTACCTCCTTCCCCAGGCCACATTACTGTCATAAAGCTGATTCTTTTTACTCTGTAGGCACCACAACAAAGTTCAGACCAAGTTTTAAGCGATTTTCAACAAACAAACCCATTTAAATCAGAATGACTAAACGAGGTGACGTCACACTAACGGTCGCTCCATGTTGAAGATAGGGCCTTGTACAAGGCCCATTTTCAAATGAAGGGAACGAATTTCTTCAACACCAAGAGGCCGCGGGGGTTGCAACCTAGATAGATAGTGGTTTCTGAACCTCGCCGCAAACTTGGCTATCTCAACTCAAACCCCATGTTAAAGGTGGGATAGTCCCTTTAACGGACATGTCCCGTAAATTTCGTGATATTACAGCACACATGCTCCTCGTACAGCGTACTATAACCAATACCATCCACTTGATATCATCTACTACCGTGGATGATCTCAAATCCATTTCTGACGGAAAACCACGATCTATTTTGGAAACTTGCTGTAAATTAGCTACATCATATCCGACAAGTTATTTTTGTTTATTTAGTCTGAAAATAATAGTAATAACATCTTATAACACACACCTGCGCTGATGTCAGTGATATGATACAACCTTGCCTTGTATGACCACGTTTGCAGGAATGTCTGACCACCGTGCATTGTTTCCGTCCGTGCTTTGTCCGTGACTGAGTGGCGAGTCGTCGCTCTGTTTCCGGAGTTGTACAGAAATGTCGCCGCCAGCCCGCCGTGCGCTACCCCTCGGGACTACCGCGGTGTGTAGCAACAGGTCCGTACCAGGGTCTATACCTCTGTTGATGAAGCGAGGTCTACCGCCTCCACCCTAGGCCTGCCGCTGTTGATGACGCTAGGTCTGCCCCCCCCCGGTCTGCCGCTGTTGATGACGCCAGCTCTGCCCCCCCCCCCCCCCCAGGTCTGCCGCTGTTGATGACGGCCCTATGGGCGGGGGTAACCGCCGTCTATCACCAGACTCAGTGTTGGTGGGGCTACAGCTTCACGCCCTACTACTGGGTGCTGGAAGGACCGCGCTTCACCGTCATCGCGGTAAGCTGGCGCCGGTCCGGCCGGACGCTACCACTAAACCAGTGTATTGGTTGCCCTACCGAGCCGTGCGTGCAGGTCCAACACACAAACACGAACGGGTTCTAGTGGTATTGGGCGTGTGAAGTGTCTGGTCGCGGATAAAAAGAAAACCTCACACATCGGAGTTTCGAAAGCGATAGAATAAGGACCACAAATAATTTTTCAATGTGGAAAAGAACTTATGATTGCATTTTAAATTAAGGCGCACCATTAACTAATATTCTAAAATCGCATGACTTTTGCATTTGTCGCTATTTTGATTAGATAGGTATATTTGGTATGTGAAATTTTCAGCTTGATCCAAACCGACCTAAAGATAATGAATGGAGAAAGATTCATTCGATAGAAAAGTACGACCTGCTTTGAAGCATTCATGCGATTCTGTCGGTAATATATCCCGCCTTAAATTGTCAACATCTACCAATATCGCATCCTTAGCCAGTTTTTCCGCAATATAAGCAGAAGATGGCGATTCAGGCGAAGGGCGATTGTAGTAAGCAGCCTCAGGGTACATGCTATCAAGATTTCTGCACGTGCCAAGTACAACGCTTATAACTACATAGCTGACAAGTTTCAACGTCATTTATTCCAAGTTTCTTTCAGATAAGGTTGGGGCCCCAGTCACGTGCAACTTTTCCCAACCCCGCTCACGATTTTCATAAGCCTTGATCTATTTTTCTGGCTTGAAGTCTTATCAACTGGGTGGTTTCACACTTTACTGTGTACGCAACGATGATAAGAACAAAAGAGAACAAATAAAAGAATATACATTTGAATGAATGGATTAATCAACAAATCCGTATAAAAACAGCAGCCTTACAAGCCTTGCGTTCGGCATCCGGAAAATGAGGGATAATTATCCGGGATCACCGGTAATTATTTTGTATTGCATGGACCATTGATGCAATTATAATAGTCACATCCTTAGATTGCTTTTGTTTCACTAATGGCTCTTCTCTACACTGTAAACCAAATCTACAAGTTGGCTCCTTGTTACAAGTTTGGTTCCAATTCGCATAGGCGTCACCTTGTCGATACCTTGTCGATTCACCAACCCCAGGCTTGTTGGCCAACAAACTAACGGTGTGTCTACAAGTTTGGTTCCAATTCGCATAGGCGTCACCTTGTCGATACCTTGTCGATTCACCAACCCCAGACTTGTTGGTCAACAAACTAACAGTTTGTCTACAAGTTTGGTTCCAATTCGCATAGGCGTCACCTTGTTGAGTACTAGTCTGGGCCTTGTGGACCTACCAACTTCTGGATAGGCATATTCGTTTCCTTGTCGGTTCACCAACCCTTGGTTTGTTGATGAACTAGCCTTTGACTGGGCATTGCTAGCTTACAAATTGTCAACAAGTAAGTGTACTAACGCTCTGTTCAAACTTGTCAACAATCGCTTTGTTTGCGTTGATAACCTTAAGAACTTACGATTCGCGTTCGTTTTCAATTGCCACGATACTGACTCAGGAAATATTTTATATACGGACAGGTTATTTTTTGGCTAGAAGTGGTGCACAAAACCATGACTGGCATCAGTTATTGCTCAATGGCTTGCGCTGACAAGAAACGAAATACTGATGGGTTATATAATCAATGAATGCATACACCACATCCTTTCGGAAGTTTCTGGAATCATTAGTATTTACTACGGTCACGTAATTAATACTATTGACTGGAGACAATTCCGAGTGCATATTTTCGAATGGATGTGGTAAATGCATGAGGTAGGTATACCCAGTAGGTATACCCTTGGGTATACCTATCATGCACCGTCAGCATATAAGTCTTTGAAGCAAGAACTGCTGCGTATGTGAAAGAACATGGTTTTGTGCACCGCATCAAGCCAGAAGTATAACATGCCCGTATGACGAATATTTCCTGAACATTGACCATAACAATCGTGGCAGTTGCACCATCACCCAGATAATTAGAATAAATCATGATCGCCAACCAGATTAGCTTTTACAGCCCGTATATGTCCATCAGTTAACCCTATTAGTGGCAGGAGGGGGGGTTGTTTTTATCCACCCCTCAGGTTTTTCGGGAATATCTCCGAAACCGCTGAAGCTACGATGCTGAAATTTTCTGACTTTTCCTAAAACTAAATTGGGCACATTCCCTGAAAATTTCAAGTTCATAACTTTACTAGGGGCGGCTCCAGAGCACTGGGAATTGGGGGTCCTATTCGTGAAGCGAGTCATTTGGGCGAAGATCACGATGCTGCACCAGTTTTACGAACAGTGAATGAAAGGTATCATGTGATAACATATACAAAGTTATTGTGCATCCTCTTTTGACACGTTTTTGCTATAATAGGCGGATCCAGGCGTCCAAAAAGGGGGGTTATTTTTTACCTCCCAACATAGGTGCCCTGACACCGCCTATGCATGACCAATACAATTTTAGTCGTTCTCTCATAAGAAAATTGTAACATAACAAGACCATTGCCACCCTTTTTAGAAACAGTACCAACAAAAACCTTATTTACTATACTTTTTGTGTACCCCCAATCTCAATGATCTGTATCCGCCTATGATTTTTGAAAATGCATATTTTTAGGATCCATGTGAATTCCTGGTTCATTCTCTATCGATCGGCAAAAGTTGCGTTAAGATTGGTTCAGAAACCTGGCCGTGATAAACAGTCTAAAATGTATCTGCAATTTGCCCGTTTTTACCCCCTCTACCCCCCTATTGACATTTTTTAATTTTATTTTTTATAGAAATGTAGATCTCGTTGAGCCAAATCGAATGCCGTTTGAATTTTGAAAATCGGCCGGTTAGATCTCGAGATATCAAGGGGGGGTCGTAAACAGCCCCCCCCCCCCTGCCACTAATATGGGGTAGCCAGGAGCCTGCCACTAATAGGGTTAAGTTAAAAATAGAAAGAGTTGAATTAAAGGCAAATAAATGTATTTATATATAAAAAACACCGACCGCAAAACATCTGCTCACCTGTGCATGCACAGGTCTGGCCCACTTACATTGCGCGCGCAGGGGAAGGGAGGCGTCTCGAACGCGAGTATAGGCACGATTAGTGCGTCCCGCAGGCCAGAGGGGGCCCTCACTCACAGCACGAACACCACAGTTCACAGATTTCACTTTTTACTGCACAAATGCTGGAACAGCCCTCGTCGCTGCTCCAGGCTGCACGGCGGCCGCGCGTCAACTGCTGGTTCGAAACCGCCGCGCCGGGGCCAACGGCGGGCGGCGACCGCTGATTGGTCCGCCAAGTCTGACGTCATATGCGCAGCTGACCATGTGTATGCTGACCAGCTGACCAGTACAAGTTAGGCGCCGGTTGAATAACCATGCGGCAACAAGTTTCCAAAACTGGTTAAGAAACAAACGTAGAAACAAATGTAGAGTTGGTCTGGATACTGAGAAGTTGGTGTGCATAGTAACTATTGACTCGTAGTTGTCACCTGACAAGCAATGCACCAGACAACGGCTTGTTTAAAAAGTATCAGTTGGTAAACATACCAAGAGATGATTGGTTATATTACACAAGACTTGTCAATTTGGTTTACAGTGTAGTTGTCATGTCCGTTGTGCACATGGTGTCAGCCTATAAACACCGAATGATCCCAGTGATTCCGGATAATTCTCTCTGAATATCCGGATGCCGATCACTCGCAAAGATGAAAAATCATTAGGTACCGTTCAAATAAAAGTATGGTTCAAATCGAAGGTCCGTAAAAATGGCATACCCATTATGTCATGGATGACGTCACGATAAAAACTGCGGTGGTCCAATTGCGATTTGAAAGATTCTCCCGTGCCACCAGGCGCTTTTATGCCTCTGATAAAACTTCCCATCAAGAACCGTGAAGAGTGCCCAGCGATACCGCGGTTGTAAGTGTAACAGTCGTCGGCACTTCCATGTTCCATAAATTTGTAGGTAAATATGCGTGTCATTACATGTTTGCTGCATGTAGGTAGGGTAATTTTAACACATTGTTTTTTATTTTCACTAATTGTGCTGTTAAACTTAAATTTCGTTTGATTTTTTTTAGAAACTTACCTATAATTGGAATAATTTGGCTTAAATGTAAAATGCATGCCCAGGTAGGTTCTGCATAGCCTGTGAACACACTTCAGAATTGGCAAGCAATACAGTCATATACAGTCTTGGTGCATCCATAGGCGGCAGAACGGGAGGGCACCGGGGTACCGTGCCCCCCTTTGATTCTGGCATTTTAACATTGCCTTATGGGCGTTGCATGGAACGAATGGGACCAAAAATGGGCAGTGCCCCCCCCCCCCCTTAAAGGGACCCTCCCACCTTAACATTAGATTTGAGTTGAGGTAGCCAAAATGGGGTCCCTGGCTCACAATTACCGGTTTCGGCACTCACAACATCGAGAAATGCCTTAAATCAGAAATATTGAATTTCAAAATTGCAGCATTTTAATTCAGAGGGGCTAATGCTTTGGAATACCCCTCTGAATGTGTGACGTCAGCGCAGTTATCTAACGATTTTTAAATGTTTGACTAAAACGTTTTGTAGCACGCGGTGGTATATGCTATTTGCGCGCAACATCTGCCGCAAACGCCGCACTTCTAAAATAAAGTCGCTAGAAACAGCGGAGATCCCAAAAAAGTAAACAAAAGTAAAAGTCTAATATCTTGAAAACCGGTGAATATTTTTCGGTGAATTTTGGTAGATATTCGTTTTCGCTCTTTCTGAACCGAGCGACATCACTTTCATGCCAATTCATAAACTTTTTTGAAGGTGGGAGGGTCCCTTTAATTGAAGGTGTTCCGCCGCTACTGGGTGCATCATATACCTTGGTAAAGTTACAAGAGACATTGTTGCTTTGATCCTCATCACATTAGTCAAGTTAAATACAACAATGAAAACTTAGTCCTTAGTTTAAATTGCTAAATCTCAAGTGTTGATAGACATATCAGTATAAGCAATGTACTCGCACTTGCATTAGGTATGTAAAAGAATGC